GACAATAAATATGCTTTTGTTGTGCATAATTAATAAGTTTAAACCAAGTCAAATAAGCATAATCTTTCTCTATTATTGTGATATTTGCCTTTTTTGGTCAACTTTTTCATTAAAGAAATTTTCCAGCACATTTGCTACCATATGGAAAAATTCAAATCCTTTCCTGTTTTCTAAGTTCTTGATACCACCTGTCTGGGTGTGACCAATAAATAAACTATCACGTTTTGATGTTTCAAAAGTTTATTTTGATTACCAACAAAACAAAACCTTAGGAAGGCCAACTTTGGACATAATAATGTAATGTGCAACCCTATTTGAATTTGAAAACATCAGTCCAAAAAGACTGGACAACTTTACATAACCACCCTATAGGATAACATGGATCTAATTCTTTCCATTTTCTCCAACACATGGGGCTTACAGCAGACTTCTTTGCACGCTAAGCTTCTTTGGTGTTGAATACCATCCTCAAAATACTTTTGAGTTTTCCCTAATTTGAGGGAAAATGGATTTCAGTGGTTTTCTATCCCAGTTGGGTAACTATAAAGTCAAAGGGATTTTTAGGAGGGCTGCTTTGGTATTGTGAGTAAAGGCACTGGGCTAGAAAATGGGAAGCTGAGTTTTAATTCTGTCTTGGGTATGAAGTGAGCTGGGTGACTTTGGGCCAGTCCCTCTATCTCAGCCCTGGGAAGAAGTGGTGGGGGGGGGGAGGGGGGATTTTATATTTGATTTCGTATATTGCTTTCAACCAATTCCTTTCGTGTTCTCTAATGGAACGTTGCAAATTTTTGAAATTTTCCATTTATCCCTATTATATGATGAATTCTGTCTAATTTCAAATATATTCATGGTCTAATTGCTTTTGTTTTAATGGCTGAACTGCACTAAAAAGCAGAAACGGATGTATCTGAAACCACGAATGAGCCACATTTCCTAAAATTATCTGTAATTGGTTTCCCATTTTGGGAGTCTCCCTGACATATAACTCTTTGAAATATGAAAGTCCTTTCATTGCCCAACCTTCCTTCTGTTTAATTTCATTTTCAGAATACGAGACAAGATGAAAAGTAAAGAGTTGAAGAGGTGATGGGTATGAAATTAATATAAGGGCTCATCCTTTTCAAATGTTGCAAAGGTTTAGAAGAAATGGATTCTGACTAACTTCCAGTTCTTGATGATGATTTTAGGAAAGTGCCCTCATTTTCACTAATAGTATATTTATGCATTCCATCTTTAGCCAAAGTGTTAATTCTTTTGACCTTATCAAAAATGTTATTGAAATGATTATCATCATCAGAAGATTTAATATTTGTGGAGTCCCTGGAATTCTCTGAGCTTGGCTGTTTTCTTGCAAATGTTTCATTACCTGGCTAGGTAACATCTTCAGTGCTTCTACTCCACAGTTCAACCCTGAGCTACACATATTCTCTTCTATTGATTTAATATTTAGAATTCTGAGGCCTCCTTCATTAATATTTTTGAAAAGAATCTTTGAATCTATTCTTGCTTTTTTGCCAGTATGTATAAATTTTGCCTAGATCCAATGACTTTGGACTGAAAAAGGTCACAACTTCCTGCAATATTGCCATTGTTCCCATACCAAAGTTCAGTTGTGCTTGCCAAAGATATTTTGACACTTTTCTTATTTCAGTGGCAAGACTATGATATGGATCGAAAACAGCTATAATGCTTAGATTTTTGTGATTCTGGCCAAATTCACTCAGACTTTTTAGGCTTTTTTTTTTTTTTTAAGAAAGATGTTTGTAGGTGAAAGTTGAAGTGATAAGATTTGGAAGCGCATGGCTGATGTTGTGCAAATGTTGGAAGATCATGCACACTTCTGCAATTTAATCTCATTTCTAGGGAGCATGAAAAGATGAAGTGGGGGAAAGCTATTGGATAAATAGCAAAAGACCGCGTAAAACAGGAGCAGTTCTCACTCATAATCTTCATCACTCACATGTATTTTCCCTAATTAAGATTGGACTGGAGGAAAAAGTACTGTTTGAAATGACAGAGTGCAAGTTTGTTTTTCCAATGTTCTTGATGTGTCACAGCAGAAAGGGAGAATGCTTTTTCTTCTGATGTGCTGTGGATTTCAGCAGATGTTGTATAATTCTATTATAACCACTTCTACCTTTTTTAAAGGGGTAGCTAAAGAGGACCATGTAATAGCAGCCTTGAAAGCATTATGTTGGCTAGCTGTGACACCCAACTTAAGGAGTTAACACTCATCTGAAAAAAGTCCAAGTTGCACTGGCGACTTTATGAACACATCTATGTCACTTTCATGGCAGCCCTATGAAACTGGCATTTTCTTGGCATTATCTTCTTCTAGGATGGTGTTGTTTTTTTTTTTTAATTCACTTGAATTATGGCCCTGCTAGTCTTCCACATAAGTGCCAACCAGGTCTGACCCTGCTTAGCTTTACAGCCACACAAGGTTGCTCTGATGTTGCCACCTACTGAGAATAATATCTGCCTATAAAACCTTACATGTTTTATGATTCAGACCCATTAAATGAACCATGCAAACATCACTGAACTGGTGCAGTAAGATCCATGGGAGAAGGCACTGCTCACAGCCCATCCACTGGACCTAGCTCATGATGAGATGGTCTGAATTAGTGCCTTCCAAAAACCAATGCCCTCATTATGGAACTATAATTATTCTAATTAACTCTAATTAAGCAGCTGGTCTCAATAACTGAAGGCATGCTTATTCATACAGATATTTGTAGACAAGACTAGACTCTTGTATAGGCTATTGTTTTAAAATGAATGTTGCAAGATTCTTGTTCTTTCATATTATGATAAACGCTTTTATGGATTACAGTGTTGATTCTTTCTGGCCCCTTGCTCTCGCGTCCTTCAGGAGGAAAGGAAAGAGAAGGCTGCTAATGCTTACTACTATTACTAGCTTATTGCTCAAACAAGTAGGGGTCCTCATCTTTCCTTCATATCAAATGCAATCTATGCAAAACCATAGACTTAAATATAAGAAGGGATTGCAAAAATCCGGTTAAATCTATGTAAACCATACCACGTGGATCCCCAACGCTTGATCTCTAGATATAGCAATGGCCATAGCAGCTTCTCAATCACAGATGTGCAGACCTGCGACCAAACCCCAAATACTTCCTCTAGGACTTTGCTCGTTTGCTGCTGCTGCTGCTCAGATTTTACAGATCTCAGTCTTTCCCAACCCTGAGTGGAGATGCTAGGGATGACGTTTAAGAACTTCCGCATACAAAATAGGGGCCCTCTCATGAGCCAAAGCTCTTTCCCGGCCTACCGGCAAGCCTGCTGCTCATAAAACAGACGTTCAAATTTGTACCCTACCTGAGTGTCGAATTTAGCAGCACTGTAGAGGAAAGATTTGCAGATGTCATACATGCCACCTGTGTCACAAGTAGAGTTTTCCAGACAGGCGAAAGCCCCACATCCCACCTGGAGGGCACTATTTAGACATCGAACAACATCTGCTGCAAAGAAAAGGGTGGGAAGAAAAAAGAATATCTCAGTGCAAGCTTCTATCACACTTTGTGCTCCCATAGCAGCTTTCGGCTCAGCTGGTGGTATCTGCCCCAATTGTTGAGTCATGTTTTACTTCCAGACAGAGCTTGTCAACACATCACCCTTAGTAAGTATTCATTACATTTTGAGCACAATACTCAACTTCCAGTGTCTCAGCAAGTGCAATTGCTGCACTGGAAGATTGTGTTTCAAGCAAAATAGTTTCCTACTCCCATAGAAAACAGTAGTAGTTCTGAGGATCAGCCATGCTGTAAGACTACAAGGGACAGGCAGTAGGTTTTGCACTGAGTTTCTAAAGCCGCCACGGCGTGGCCAACCATCAACACTGTTCCTCTCCTCCTATTACAAGTACTAGTTTCTCATACTTCTGCAGCCTGGGGGTGGTGGTGGGGAAAATTCATTTCCAAGTATTTGATGAAGAAAATGCCTTCATTCTCCACCCATCGGGGCCCAATTCTTATGCACTGGAAGCTAGAGATTCTGGGCAGAATTCAAGCACATGTGAGCATCAGAACTGTTTGTTATTTTCACATTCAAACAGGATGCCAAAGCTATTTTGGTGTCTATCAAACGGGTGCAATTCTATTCTATCAGACCATAACCAACCTGCTGTACAACATCCCCGTACTCTTACCACGGAGGGTTTTTTTTTTTAACTTAAGACATTTTTATATTACTTCTCCAAATGAAATAATTCTCCCTCCAGGCCAACGACAAATTCAATGCAATTTGATTCAGTGCAATTTGACAATAACATGACAACAAAAGTAATTTCACACATAATTCAGAATCCCAGCAGCTACAAAAGCAGCATCAGATATATGAAACATCGAAATATCTGTCTAACCCAATTACTTCAAAGGAAGAAAACAGGGCCAGGAAGGCTGGAAATTATGGGAATAGTAGTCCAATACATCTGATGTTCCCAGGCTGGTGATGGTTGAGGCTGCCTGGAAAATGTCTCTTTAAGGGGTGCCCATAAATGATGGTCACCACCCAAAATGGCTTTCCTGTATATCTTGGCCAACAGTAAGATAATAAACATACCACCTCTTTAATAATGTGAACCAATTTTACAAAGGGACATTTTTGAAAATGACTATATTGGACTGACTATGAGATGAGGACATCAAAGAGGCAAAGTACCTTTACCTTTGCTGTTTGATGGATAACCATAATTCAACATTTGATTATTTTCTCAGGTCTCCCCTCTCCCCATGCAGGTATGCAAAGATTCTTAGGAATTGAAGCTGCTATCCCACATGGACGGTGGAATCTACATATATTACAGTTCTGTTCCGTTGTTCAAGACAACACTCTGTGAATGCCGTCTATGAACAAACGCTTCCCTATCTCTTGGGCCCAATTAGAGGAAATACATTGGAAAGCCATCATCAAGGATGAGTTTAAGAAATCTATAAAAGTGGAGCATAGAGTTAAGATTCTGTAGAAAGACAATGCGGTGTTGTGATTAAAGTGTTGGACTAGGCCCATGGAAACCCAGATTTGAATCACTACTTGGCTGAAGCTCAGTGAGTGATCTTCAGGCAACCATGATCTTTCAGTCCAATTTGAAGGGATGTTGTAAAAATGAGGAAGGGGTAAAGATCAGGGATATCACCTTGAGCCAAAGCCAGGATATATAGCATCTTTAAGAGATCTCAGAAAAAAAAAAGCCACATTATTTATCACAAATGAGCACGGAATTAAGTAATTATATCTGTAAGATTATTATCTTCCAGCAGTGTGCTAAAATAATATCTCCTTTTAAATTAATATTAATTTTTTCCCCTCTAACCTGAATTTCTACTTAGTTACCTATCACCTTGAAACCATATACCTCATTTTCTACCTGATCACCTTGTAGGCATCAGGAATAAAGTGAACTTGAATGTAATTTTTAGAAACCCTTTAAGAGGCTACTTTGCAAGGAGAGACCAAGGCGTTTTGAGGGACAGTAGCAATACTTTTTTTTAAAAAAATTGCCTCTGCTCCTATTCTAGTACCTTATAAGTGGAGACTTTAAAACATAAGCATCTTCTTCCAATGCTATTAGATGTGCCAAGTGAAAGAAAAATTCAAATTGGTAGGTACCCTGTACATCTGCCTTCCATTATGATGTTTCCATGGATTCAACTTAGAACTTTGCAATCTGCAGGTTTAATAAGCATTAGGGCTTTCATTGTTTTAGACACCCTGGAAGAACTGAGACCCTAGGTTTCTATAGTAACCAAGTACAAAAGGAAATTGAGCAAATACTCCAGCATCAATGCTGCAGAGCCCTGCAGATCTGAAATAAAAACCCTTCCCCTGGCAAGTGTCAGATTAGGGGAGTGTGGTTGCCTTGATTGAAAATTAAGATGCAAGTGATATCTTGCCATACTGGAAGCAGAGGGACCTCCCAGCACTTTGGGGTATTAATCTTTCATTTTAAAGAAAGCTCCTTCAGCACAGTAGGCTTCCCATATGGAAAACTCAATTAAGGTGGTGTGTGTCGGCTAGGCAATGCAAAAATTGCTGAAATGGCCCCAAGAAGAAGAGTGAAAAGTTAGAAGCCTGCTGGAAGGAGGTTACTGGAGCAAGGATGCCGGTTTCTTTCTTTCTTTTCAAAAAAGGGCATGGCTTTTCCGACCTGCTCTTTCCTCTCTTTGGAGAAGCCAACTAAGAGAACACTCGGGGATTTGAATTCATTTGGAAATGGGGAGGAGGGTGCGGGGAGAGACCTGCTTCGGTTAACTTCTGCAAAGGGCAAGGCTGAAGGGGGAATGCCCAAAGGACGGGGTGTCGCGAACCCTGCGGAACACGATCCGGAATTTCGATTCGCGCTGTCATTCTCGCGGGCAGCATTATTAGGGGGGTCGAAAGAAAGGGCTTGGTTTTGCCCCTCCACCGGCCACAAAAGGGGTCGCTTGCCTGCACCGACTCGTGCCCCAAGCGGACAAACCAAGCCAGCGAGCGGAGATTCATTTCATCCCCCGGAAAGTTTTCCTGCTCAAGCTGCTCCTTGCACCCGGCTCCTTGGGTTTC